AAAACCCAAAAAAAAAAAAAAAAAAAAAAAGGAAAGAAAGAAAAGAAAAGCCACGGTTGTCTCAGAGGCCCAAATTTCCCCTCCTACCCACCAACACCACTGGCTAGTCATTTAAAGCTTCTAAGAATACCTTACAAATAATATCACTGTAGTTCAAGGACACACAGAGGGGTTCCATATGTGTGTGGTATATAGTGTAGTATGGTATATGTGTGTGTGCGCGCATGCATGTGATGTATGGGTATGTGGTGTGTGTGTATGTGTGTGAGTGTGTGTGTGTTTGCATGTGTGTGATGTATGGGTATGTGGTAAGTGGTGTGTGTGAGAATGAACCAGAGTTTCAGAAGGTAAAGATCTACACAATTCAAAGGCCCAAAATGCCCAAGGATGTAAGTCATGGACAAGCCTGAATGAGTCTCATCTGGATGTTGTCAGAAAAATTAAATCTTCACTTCATAATTCCTTTGAGAAACCCTGAGGAATCTCCCCAGGCAAACCCAAATGGGCCCAGCCCAGGTGTGGACCCTGCCGTGGCACGGCTTCATTTTTGATTGAGAAAGGACTTCTCTGTGTAACACTCCTGACTGTCCTGGGTAGAACAGGCTGGCCTTGAACTCAGAGATCCACCTGTCTCTGCCTCCAGAGTGCTGGAATTAAAGGCACGCATCACCACCAACTGGCCGTAGCTTCAGTTTTTTAATAAAAAAAAAAATTGGTAAATATCTTTTTTTTAATAACTTAATGGGCATGTGTTTTAGCCCACCTGTGTGGCTGTGCGCATGTCTATTAGTTATGTCTGTGGGGTCAGAAAGTCGTCAGGTCCCCTGGAGTCACAGACAGTTGTCAGCTGCCACGCTGCTGCTGGGATCTAAATGAACCTGGGTCCTCGGCAAAAGCAGCTGGTGCTCCTAACCACGGAGCTGTCTGTCCAGACCCCTATGCGTTCACTTCTTACTGTGTTCACACTGGCTTCTGTGGGGCAGTAGATCCTTCAGTTTAAAGGGTCCCAGGGCCATTGGTAGTGGGAAAGTGCATGCAGCCCTGTGCTCCAACATGCTAAGGACAAGGTGGCTGTCCTCCATTTGGTCAGCTCATCTCATATTGTTCGAAGGGAGCGGCTACCATCTGGTTAGTTCAATGTGAATTTCTTTGCTTAGGGTTCAGAACATGAAGGAGAAAATGACAGTGTGGGCCCCGTGCCCTCCATCATTGGCCAAGAAGGCAGGGTGGGGGTACTGAGAAACTCATTTGAATGGCTTTTGAGATACTAACAGATTAGCACGTGAGTGGTGAGATTTAATACTATTAGGTTGCTTTTAAGGCAGGGTTTTACTAAGTAGACCAGGCTGGCCTTGAACTCATTCAACCTCCTCAGTGAGGGCACCACGGTGCATCCACATGGGTTTCTAAGACTCTGCAATGCCCGCAGCCTGTCCCAGCTCCTGGGACTGGCAGATGGGCTTGATCTCGCTGCTGCAGGGTAGGCACTGAGGGAACCCAGCAGGGCCTCTGGATTCTGGCCCCTCCTTGAACTCTTTGTGCCAAGAGAAAGGTAAACTCAGGAATTTAACAGTTGGGGTTAGTTAGCCTTCCTCCACCCTGCGTTCCTTCTCTTGGGATGATCAAAGTAACAAGAAAAAAAAAATCTGTTTGCTTAAAATAATTTAAGTTTACAGGTTTTTTTTTTATCTGTTTTGTTTTGTTGAGATAGGGTTTCATATTATAACTCAAGCTAGCCTGGAACTGTCT